ATGAAGTAGCAACGAAAATATTTTTTATTGTTGGGGGTCACCACAACATGAGAAACTGTATTAAGGGGTCATGGCATTAGGAAGGTTGAAAACCACTGCTTTAGAGCAATTGCTTTGGGGACATGAAGTGGAAAGAAAGGAAGATTGGGTGAGTATTGCGATGGTCAGAATTGAGGGCCAATCAGTGAGCATTTTGAGAGGAAAGCAGGGTGGATCATCCTGTAGTTTTCAAGGGATGATCCACCCTGGGAGAGGTCAACMYTCCTGTTTAAGGAGCTCCATTGGCTGCCGTTCATTTTCCGGGCCCAATTCAAGGTGCAGGTGCTTACCTACAAAGCCCTAAACGGTTTGGGACCCAYCTAYYTGYGTGACCGCATYTCYRTATAYGAACCCACACGATCWCTYCSWTCATCTGGAGAGGCCCTGCTCACGATCCCRCCTGCATCRCARGCGYGATTGGTGGGRAYGAGRGACAGGGCCTTCTCGSTGRTGGCYCCAYGACTCTGGAACTCMCTCCCCAAGGACATCAGGCATGCCCCAACATTGGCAGTCTTCAGAAGGAGCTTGAAAACATGGATGTTCCAGTGTACCTTCCCAGATTAAGGAATCCCAAGCAACATGTCCCAAATGCACTTTACGAGAGAGTTAGAATTGTCTGCACACCCACTTACCCCCCAAAATATCCATCCTTTTTCACCTTGTCATGCCCAGCATTTTTAAAAAATGTTTAACCTTTACATTTGGTCCTGCCAGGTTTTTAAATTGCGTCGTGATATTTTGTTATTGTTTCTGCTTTGCTATGAGTTATTTATTGTTGTATTGTTGTGGTTGTGTTTTTGTTCTGATGTATTCTGGGCTCGGCCTCTTGTAAGCCACACCGAGTCCTGCGGGAGATGGTAGCGGAGTATAAATAAAGGATTATTATTATTATTATTATTATATGAGGAATCTATTGAATTGCTTTGTGGATGCATTGGTACAGCTGAACAGTAATGAGGGATATAAAAGGCTGCTGTGCCTGGCAAAGCACATATTGTGCTGAAGGTACTTGAACTATAAGAACTGTGAGTATAGAATTATTATTATTATTATTATTATTATTATTATTATTATTATTATTCCCCACCAACCATCTCCCCCAAGGAGACCCGGGACAGCTTACAAAGGGACAAGCCCAAAAATTACAAATAAAAATAGAGACACAATTAAAATCCATGAATAAAATAATAAAACAAATACAGTCATAACAACATCATAAAAACAATATGGCTGAGATAAAGGAAACATAGCTGAATTCAGGGTGGTTTATAAAATTAGAGTGTCTTATGATAAAATAAATACCATTTATTTTTCTTAATTTGTTTTATGTAGAAACTGTCTTTTTTGTTTTGGAGAAGTAGATCATGACTCCTTTTCCTGTAAGACCAATGACAAAATTATGAAACTTTTATATGACCCAACAATTGCTAAACATTTAATTTTAAAACCATATTAAAATCTTGTTTACTACTTGTAGTGCTAAACATAAACCTCTACAGAGTCCAGTATGCATGGCTTCCAGATATTCTTGAATGATATCACCATTTTCTTCAATAGTATGAATGTGTGGGGTTTTTAAATATGTATATATATTTTGAATGCCTGCATTCAGCACAGTGAAGGTTTGTGAGGCTTTGCTGTAATGGCAGATAATAGATTCTTGCCGTCTGGTTGTTTAGAACTGTTGAATGGAGGGTGATCTTAAACTTATCCACAAAAGTCCTGGAGTCATTTTGAAACGAGTCCAGCCATGTGCTTGTCATTCTTGTCCTGAATCTTAACTAGGCAGCCAATGATATCATGTATAATTCGTGTCTTCGAGAAGAAATGGACAACATTTCAAAGACTTTGGCTTGAAAAGAAACATGTAGGTTACACCCTCTGTCACATCTTACACAGCCCTGAAATCAGGCAGTCTTTAGACGTGCGCAGCCTGTGCACTGAAGCCAAGTTGCAAAGGACAATGGAAAGGGAAACAGCCACTCCATCTAGCTTTTTCACACCCTCCTCCCTACTGCTGTCCCAAAAATACATGCCAGCAAAAAAAGTGGGGAGGAAACACAGTAAAAGAAGGAAAGAAACAGACTAAAATATCCTTTTCATTTTATTTTATCTTAGTTTATTGTATATGCCATCTTTCTCCTAAAGTAGGATTCAAAGAGACTTATGGATAAAATTAGTTAAAATGTTAATACTGTTCTGTAATCAAGACACCATTGTTTTAAAGTTCTGGGGGTTTTATTGTGGCTTTGGCAGTGTGTATTACTTGCATCCATATCCATGTATAAGCCTAGTTTTTCAGCCCTTTTTAGGCTGAAAAAGCCCCTCTCGACTTATACTCGAATCAAGGTTATTTATTATTTTACTTTGTTATATAATAATAATAATAATAATAATAATAACAATAATAATAATTTATACTCCGCCACCATCTCCACAAGGGCACTTGGGATGGCTTACATGAGGCCAAGCCCAGCAATACAACAATGCAAATGTACAACATAAGAATAAAAATATAAAAAATGAAAATAAAATAACATAAGATACAAAAAACATTATAAATAAACACATCAGGCAATATAAAATCACAATATTATTACATTTATTATTTTACTCTGCTATTATTAATAAATTTATTTTTTCCTCTATTTATTATTTTTATTACATTTATAATTTAACTTTATTGTTGTTGTTATTATTACATTTATTAATTTACTGTATTTACTATTGTTATTATTACATTTATTATTTTACTCTATTATTATTACATTTATAATTTAACTTTATTGTTGTTACTATTATTACATTTATTATTTTACTCTCTTTATTATTATTAGAAAATACGTAAGCACATTTACATTGAAGAAGGTTAGAATAATAGTTTAATCAGAGTTGGACAGTCTTATCTTAAATTACAGTTTTATGTAAATATTCAAAAACATTTAACCTACTGATGCCTCAATTGATGTAATTTTATTGGTATCTATTTTTATTTTGAAATTTACCAGTAGCTGCTGCATTTTCCACCCTTTGCTTATACTCGAGTAAATATGTTTTCCCGGGTTTTTTTTTTTTTGTGTGTGTGTGTGTGATAAAATGAGGTGCGTCAGCTGATATTCGGATCGGCTTATACTCGAGTATATATGGTAGTTTCCCAAATGGCAGGCATTTCTTGAACAGTTGTTTTCTTCCTCAGTTTTTGTTTGTTTGTTTGGGGGGGGTTTTTTTGGTTGTTTTTTTTTTTTTGAGGCCATGTAGTACCTGGAGAAGACCCCACAAAAGCTGTGGTTCACTTGATACTGACCCTGTTATCCTTAGATCATTAAAGGATGGAGATATGGGAATCCAGGGAAGATCAGCCCTACACCATATTCGTTGAAGGGCTGAATGGCTCTATTAAGGAGAGCTAAATTTTACTCACTCTACATGTGGAAATGTAGAGCTTTTCTGAATACAGTATTTGCATAATTGGAAATGTACATACAACAAATTGTATATAAATTTCCTATTGCCTCTGAGTATCAATGATAAAATGGAGAGTCACTGTAGGTCAGTGGCACTTGGTGACTCCAGAGTCCCTGCCCTACAGTACCATTAGCGTGGTCAGCCAAGTCTTGAGTTTTCATTGAAAACTATACAAGGTGTTCAACCTCCACATAGATTCAGCACCTTAGAGAGCTCCATAAAAACTCAGGTTTTTGAAGTCTATAGCCTGAAATTCAGACTTCAAATTGGATTCATGATCCCATTGGCATCAAAATTATTAAGCTTCCATTAGTGTAGGATGATCACAAAATGGTTTCTACTTTCCTGAAGTGAGGTAGGAAAGAAGCAAGGCCAAAATGATCTTAGTGATCAAGTATACCTTTTTTTAAAAATGACCCGACAATAGTGGATATCCTGGATTTGAACAGGTTGAGCAATTGCAAAATAAATAAATCTCTGTTGAAGAAAATATGCCAGACGAAGAGCCTGGTGTGGTTTCCTCTCCTTCTTCTAGGTCAGTCAATGTGAGTTATTTTTTTAAAAAAGATTAATTGGGTGGAAGCTGAGTCTGTGGAATCAGCAACTAAAGTCTTGGTGGTTTATGAACAGCATTTTCCACAGTGGTAATAAGGGTGTAGAGTTACTTCATAAACCCAAGGTTGTCTTAAGAGGACATTTCTCTTAAACTACAAAAACATCGGCTGCAGCTAAAGGCAGAAAAAACCTGAAAAGGGTGTGTGTGCCTTTTAATCTGGGGCAGGTTAGAGAAAGGCTAAGAGCACAGGGTACAAAGCCAAGTGCACGCTCTGCCATTAGTTTGTGGTAGACCTTATCATGTGTTCATTCCTGTTTGCCCACTTTGAAGCAAACCTTGTACTGACATGGGTCATGATGGAAATCACACTTATTTCAAATGATTTTCTTTTCTTTGGTGATGTTTCTGATTTGGAGCACAAACACCACTTGGAAAGAAGTTGTTTATGGGAATATTTTTGCTTGTCACTGTTCATTACCTGTGTGTCCCAAAAACAATTACAGTAGAGTCTTGCTTATCCAACATAAACAGACCGGCAAAATGAGGGACAAGCGAAAATGTTGGATGATAAGGAGGGATTAAGGAAAATCCTATTAAACGTCAAATTATGTTATGATTTTACAAATTGAGCACCAAAAATCATGTTTTACAACAAATCAACAGAAAAAGCAGTTCAATACATGGTAACGTTATGTAGTAATTACTGTATTTATGAATTTAGTGCCAAAACATTGCTATATTTTGAAACAGCTGTGGATCCGGGTGGGAGGCAGATTGCGTTGGATAATACAGACCCTTGGATGAGCAAAGGTTGGATAAGTGTGACTACTGTATTATACTATAGCTACTGGCTGATAAATGGGCCAAGCCAGGTGAGGCATGCTAGACATCAAAATGAAAACAAATATGCATTTTTTGCCTTTACTGTTGTTTCTTCCAGGATTTTAGATAATGGGCTGTGTGCAATGTAAGGATAAAGAAGCAACAAAACTGACGGAGGAGAGGGATGGCAGCTTAAACCAGAGTTCAGGTTATCGCTATGGGACCGATCCCACCCCCCAGCATTATCCAAGTTTTGGTGTGACTTCCATTCCAAACTACAACAACTTTCCTACAGCTGGAGGACAGGGACTGACTGTCTTTGGTGGTGTCAATTCTTCTTCACATACTGGCACATTGCGTACAAGAGGAGGAACAGGTAACACGTTCATATTCATTCTTTTACTCCATATTCAGAAACTATTTCAGTAAAAAAAATACGTTAGGTTTTATTGTTCATTGTGTTTTATGTAAAACTTTGATAATAACATTTTAAAAGATCTGTATACAGAAGTTATAGTTCATCTGTAATTGCTCTCCATAAATACCTCTGCCACAAAGTGGAGCGTGCAGGTTTATTCTCTTCTGCCTCAGAGGGTAGAACTAGATCTAAAGGTTTCAAGGTACAGGTGAGTAGATTTTAATGGATTATTAGAAGGAATGTATTGATAGTGAATGAACTGACAGTGACGAAGGAATGTAATAAAACCAATGGTCGAGAGAGGTGATATGGTAGCCTTCTCTAGATAGATATCTTCAAAAAAGGCTAGGCAACTACCTGCTTAGGATGCTTTAACTGAAGTCCCTGTATTGAGCAGGAGATTGGACCTGATGACCGATAGGGACTAGTCATGTGCATTCAGGGTAAACCTTGATCCATTTCGTGTCTTGGCTTTCGATGGGGGCCCCGATCTGTTTCGACTGAGCCTCAGATATTTGTTTTCTGTTTTCTGTGCTGAAAAATCTTTTTCTTTCAGCCCATTATTAGGGGGAGGGTACTTCACCCATAGGTCCAAAGCAGGCTTTGGCCCTACGTGCCCGGGCCTGGCAGGGCCTGCAGCTGAGCACCGAATAAGGAGCGCTCCTTACTCTATGCCCGGCTGCAGGCCAAGGTGCGTAGGCCCAAACTGTAGTGATGCCTGCAGCTGAGTGCCAAGAAAGGAGCACTCCTTACTTGGGGCTCGGCTGCAGGCCCTGCCAAGCCAATGTGTGTAGGCCCAAAGCCTGCACCTGTAGGCCCAGGCACTTTGGGCCTACAGGTGCAGGCTTTGGGCCTATGTTCACAGGACTCACAGGGCCTTCAGCTGAGTGCTAAGGAATTCTCTTCACTCGACGCTCAGCTTCAGGCCATGCAAGGCCCGGGCGTGTAGGCCCAAAGCGCAAGTAAGGAGAGCTCCTTACACAGCACTTGGCTGCAGGCCCTGTGAGGCTTGGGTGCTTTGGGTCTACCCGCTTCCGTCTGCCTTTCGTATCGGGTTTATTTTCATTCCAGCAGGGGCCTTCCCGTTTTGTGCCATCTGAATGGATGGAACGAAACATAAACAGTGTTTACTAAACACGAACCAAACGGATGAGACAAATTTCAGGCCCATGACTACTTATTTATTTACAGTATTTATATTCCGCCCTTCTCACCCCGCAAGGGACTCAGGGTGGATTACAATGTACACATATATGGCAAACATTCGATGCCAAGACACACAACATAGACAAGACAGTCAGAAGTTATTTAACTTTTTCTGGCCGCCAGGGGAGCTGTCGCTTTCATCGTCCATCTGCGATACTGATGAAGTACTTCCGCATTCCCCGCATGCTTTTGCTGGAGTGCATTGCTGGAGTCTTTTTATGGCCTCGTAAATTTTGTTAAATTAGCCTCCCCACACATAGGTGGTACCTAAATTTCCTACTTGACAGATGCAACTGTCTTTCGGGTTGCAAAGGTCGACAACAAGCTACACAATTGGTTGGACACTCACTCTGACCCGGGCTGGCTTTGAACTCATGATCTTTTGGTCAGAAGTGATCTTAATGCAGCTGACACTCAGCCAGCTGTGCCACAATTCTAATGGGAACCCATAGATTTCAACTCTATGATTCTATTACTTCATTGCCCTTTAGGCAGTCCATACCCCACAACTCAGTTAAGGAACAGTGTTTTCAAAAGAAATAACATAGCAATTGTATTGGTTTATTTTACCCCATGTTTTCCCCAAACAGGACTGAAGGCAACTGGTGACTGTTTTATTCACATTAGTATCTCTTTGCATAGGTGTAACTCTTTTTGTGGCTCTCTATGACTATGAAGCAAGAACAGAAGATGATTTAAGTTTTCATAAAGGAGAGAAATTTCAAATACTTAACAGCTCGTAAGTCCTTTTCTACTATAGGGATTGCCACTAAAACTGAATTACTGTGTTGCAAAATGATGCATGCCTTACATTGTGTCACCAACATGAAATGTTTGGAAAGCTCCCATATAGTGGAATAAAGGTTGGGGGACTCATGAAAGAGGAAGAGATGGAGAGGAAGGAAACAAGCTCTTTTTCTGTAGTCTCCCTCCTTCTCCCTCTTGCCATTCATCTGATATAATGTGTGGTGCATCTTTTCAGGATGCATCCAAAGTACTTCACCCTCAGAGCTCTTTCCACTCCTGGTGAGTGTAACTCTGCTTTTGCACTTGCAAGAGCAAAGAGCAAAGCATTAAATGCTGCAAGATGAGTAGGAGGCACAAGAGGAATCCTCCAGCTAGTGATGCCCCTCCTTTGTCAGCGTTCTTGGTCAGCTGGAATTTGTTCTTTCATGCAAGGAGCTCCTGCCTCTTGCCTTTCTGGAGCACATGGCTACTGCAACTATGCAGAGAATTATATTTCAAGCTTGGAAACTGAAAGCTGGACTAGATTAATCGGCAATGGAAACACAGCCTTTTAAATGCCAGCGCTGTTAGTGCTGAAGTTTTTAGAATGCTTATTTTGGACTATCAGTGGAGCACATTGCTCTGCTTCAGAAAGCCCTGCAGTTTAATTTAATGTTCAACATACATACGCATTATGGGGTTGGGCACATCTTCATTTTTGCTATAAAGGCATAAACTGCAGTGAAATACCTTCAGAGCAAAGCCTAAAACAGTGAAAAATTGACGTAAAGGTGGAAGATAATTCTCAGGAATATTTCATGACTCTGTGTACCTGAACAGCTTTGATGTACATGAAAGCACAGCCATTTCAGCTATGACTTATACAAAGAACAAGGTTTTTAAAACCATCCTTTGCTTTTACATTTCAAATGGGGAAAGGGCTGACAAAAGGTTTCCATTATCCACTTTCTTTTATGCTTCAAAATGATGTGGCTGCAAACCTAACAAAGTAATGCTTGAATAATAAACAGACCCACTACAGATTCTTGACTGCAATGGATGGCAGGCTTCTTAAAAAGAGAATTTATGCTCATACAGTGATGTGGGAAAGCATGCTGATATTCATACGGCCAGGGATTTTTCAAAGCGAGTTGCACATGCAGGACTTTGTTCTTCTCTATAATTACATTCAAGGACTTTAATGCTGAAAATGGAACCAGGCATTGAGCATATTGTAAAACTGCCAGCCCTTTGTGGTTTTAGTGAGATATTTTTAGAAGGTAAAGTAAGGAAGTCCCATTGTGCAAAAAATAAATCTCAAGAGTGCACTGCTTGAATCTATATTATACAGAATTATACAACAGTATACAATTTATACAAAATTTTATTGGTGCTAGTGCTACTATTGGGAGAAATAAAAGGCTTTTCAATATTGGGTTGCTGTAAGTTTTTCGGGCTGTATGGCCATGTTTCAGAAGGATTCTCTCCTGACGTTTCACCTGCATCTATGGGAGGCATCCTCAGAGGTCCTCACAAGCTCTAAGGATGCTTATCATAGATGCAGGCAAAATGTCAGGAGAGAATGCTTCTGGAATATGGCCGAAAAACTTACAGCAGCCCAGTGATCCCAGCAATGAAAGCCTTCAGCAATACTTTTCAGTATTCTTCTTTTAAGAACTATGATGTAAGACAGGCATGGGCAAACTAAGGCCCGGGGACCAGATGCGGCCCCTTGGCTCTTACCTTAGTCCCTCCTCATTTTCCCTGTCCTCTCAGCATAAGGACATGGTGGCCTTCATCATCCTTATGCAGAAAAAACAGGAGGAAGGCATGCAGCAGCTGGGAATCCTCTGGAGCGCTCTCAACCACTGCATGGCTCGCCCTCTTCCTGCCATAAGGATGGTGCGAGCAGCCCCATCCTTATGCAGAGAGGACAACCCGAGGAAGACATGCAGTGGCTGAGAGCCCTCCGGAGTGCTCTCGGCTGTCTCCTGTCTTGCCTCCTCCCGACATAATGCCGAGAAGACATCCTGAAGATCAGGGGAGGAGGATTGGGAGAGTAGATTGGGGCAGTCATCACATGTCTCCTTTTCCTCCTGGCATAAGGATGGGGTGAGCAGTCCCATCCTTATGCCAGGACAACCTGAGTATGATGCAGGCCCTGCCCTGCCCAACCCAGCTCATGCCCAGCCACCCTCCCTCGTGGCCCGACCCTCTTGGTCAGGCCCACAATGCGGTCCCAAGGCACAAAAGTTTGCCCATGCCTGATGTAAGACCACCCACTTCTTACACGGAGGATATGACTGTGAAACCATGCCTATGAGCTCCCATTCATACGATGGAGCCTTCTCTGTCATTTTCTATCATCGTTCCTCCTGACATGCCAAGTAGCCTTTTAAACGTGTGGGCTTTCAAAGCCTCTTGCCCTTGTACACATGCACAACCTACTGTTAGAGCTAATGACACACATATTGACACATTCTTTGAAAAAAGAGGACAAATGCAATTAAGCAATACAAATCAGTGTTCTCTTTCGGAAAAACCCCTCCTTATTACATAGCATGGGCTCCAGTGCTTGTGGATATGATAAAATATCTCCATCTAGTGGAATATCCAGGCAACAATATTAAAACAAAGAGCAATAAATGGAGTCAGCAGACATTTAACTATCCTATTGCTACCAAATTGCACTTCCACTTGTCACATCCCTCAAACTGTGGGGACATGAGAGAAGCCTCCCACAGGATGGTAAAGCATCCGGGCACCCCCTGGGCAACGTCCTTGTAGACGGCCAATTCTCTCACACCAGAAGAGACTTGCAGTTTCTCAAGTCGCTCGTGACACACACAAAAAATCACTTGAACTGTGAATCTGCTATGTCATTTCTTTTGCCTTTTTCCCCTTGTTGTTATCTAAAGGAACTTACAATGAAAAGTAGAAAACTGCATCCATAATAGTTGAGATATATAAAGCTAAACTGCATGGGAGATTTTTTTTTTCTAACTTTTCCTCTTGTTTTACAGGGAAGGTGACTGGTGGGAAGCCCGTTCTTTGACTACAGGAGAAACTGGTTATATTCCCAGTAATTATGTCGCTCCGGTTGACTCCATCCAAGCTGAGGAGTATGTTTTTCTTTTAGTGTTATGAACGCTACTTAATTCCATGCCTGAAGGAAGTACAAGAGATTAGTACATGATAAACTGTAGTACTCTATTCAAGGAATGGAGTACTACATTAGTTTCTTTCTTTTTTGTGCGGTGCTGATAGAGATTTGGGTAATTAGAGGGAGGAAAGGAGGGAGAAGATTGCTTTGTGTCAGGTCAAAGTCAGGATTACCAAATGTTTTCACCGGGTGGCTAAATAATATCTTTAAGTTGTATCTGGCATGTCAGTACAGAAGGAGTAGTGCACGCCTTTTGAACAATCTAATGGCTGGAACTTATTGCATAATAAGGGCAAGTTCAGCAGCACACATCTTTAGGTGTCATTACCATAGTTTTAAATTTATTATTATTATTATTATTATTATTATTATTATTTGATGCATAACAAGATTAGTACACAGCAAAGATGCTCACTATGCTGGCTTTTGTATTTGATCACACATCAGACAGTTCCCAAGTGTCTAGGACTGCGTCATGTATCAGTGAATAATGTGTGCAGATCCAAGTAGCGTGACCTTTTGCAGCTGACTGATGGTAATTTTGTCAGTGCAGATTGTTTTTAAGTGCAGGCCAAGGTCTTTAGGCACTGCACCACTGGGAACACCTTTACTGGCTTGTGCCAGAGTCTTTGCAGTTCTGTTTTTAAATTCTCATATCGTGTAAGTTTTTCCACTTGCGTCTCATCAATTCTGCTGCCACCTGAGATGATGATGATGATGATTATCTTTATTTATACTCTGCTTTTCTTTCCACAAAGGAAACACAAAGCAGGTTACATCAAAAGCATTTCAATACAACTTAAAATAACAGTATCATTTTATGCACATCTCTTCAAAATTGCATGCCACTGAGTGGGGGTTAAGGTAAAATTAAAGGTTTCCCCTTGACATTAAGTCTAGTTGTGTCCGAATCTGGGGGTGGTGCTCATCTCCATTTCTAATCCGAAGAGCCCGTGTTGTCTGTAAATGCCTCCTAGGTCATGTGACCAGCATAACTGCATGGAGCACCATTACCTTCCCACCAAGGCGATACCTATTGATCTACTCTCATTTGAATGTTTTCGAACTGCTCAGCTGGCAGAAGCTGGGGCTAAGAGCGGGAGCTCACCCCACTCCCCAGATTTGAACCACCGACCTTTTGATCAGCAAGTTCGGCAGCTCAGTGGTTTAACCCACTGCGCCACCAAGTGGGGGTTACTTCCAAGTAAATATGGTTTTGCTATTTTAAAATTCGGTCCTAAATGGTAATGATGACCAAGGGCCAGATATAAGCAAATGCTAGATCATCTGAAGTAGTACTAAATCCAAACATCTCCCAACCTTGAATGTGAAAATTATTTAGTACTATTTTTCTCCTTGACCAAATTCAAGTTGAAATTTTTTTTGGATCTGATTAACTTTCACTATGCCATACTCTTTTTTCTTTTTTTTCTTTTTTGGCTTTCCTGTCAAAATATCTTAACCAGCAGAACAGTTCTTCTGGAATGTTTCTCTGTTGACAGATGGCAAATCTACAAAAAAGAAAAGAGAAAGGAAAGAGAAAGGTCCCAATAGCAGAAAGATATTTTGTTGGAAGAGGAGCCTTCCACTCAGTCCTGACCTTACTCATACAACTGGCATATCTTTCTGATGGTGATTCAGCCATGATATCTATCACTCATTGATCACCAGGGCTGATTTGGTCAGGCTGGCTATGCAGGTTATCCCTACTTCCCTCTCCATTCAGTGTGCATCACTTCAGACCTCCAAACTCAGAGGAAGAATGCAACCATCTCAGGGCCCTTCCACATATAACCCAGAATATCAAGACAGAAAATCCCACAATATCTGCTTTGAACTGGGTTATCTGAGTCCACACTGCGATATATTTCAGTTCAAGACAGAAAATGTGGGATTTTATTCAGCTGAGAGGAAGGGGCCTCAGACACACAAAGTGTGCATTTTTTGGTCAAGGGTTTAAACTATATCATCCTGGTATTTTCACTTAGATGGTACTTTGGCAAACTTGGACGAAAGGATGCCGAGAGGCAGCTGCTGTCATTTGGAAACCCACGTGGAACCTTCCTGATTCGTGAGAGTGAAACCACCAAAGGTAGTATGGTTTATTTTAATTGCTGAGCAAACAAAAAAGTTGGCTCTAAACAAAGTTGTCAAGTCAATCACAAACAAAATCAAAACTTTAAAATGGACATTGATTGTTTCCCCTGTAATATTAGAGTGCTATGTTTAAATCAAAACATTAATTGTTAATGAGTTGTCCATCATATTCAGTTCATTAATTTTGCACTGGTTTAGAGTTTGCAACTGGAATGATTTAAGTTTACATATAATTCTGCAAAACTCAAGAGAGAGATTTGCAAGCAAATATGAAGGGATACTAGACAAATATATAGCCTATTGGTTTCAGCTGAATGATGAAGCATTTGCTGGGCATCAGTTTAAGGTGTCTAACTATCAAGCAGTTCAGTGTTTGAGTTTAAAAACTTAATACACATTTTAATGTATATGGCGCTACTTGTGCCTGTTTTTATTTAGCTCTTTCCTATATAATGTTTTATTTGAAATATTAGATGCTGCACCGATATGTTTTTAAACTGTGGAATGACCCTTTTATTAAATCTAAAAGGAGCATTGTGTAAAAAGGGGGAATTATTTTCATTTCATTTTTATTTATTTACAACATTTATATCCCGCCCTTTTCACCCCAAAGGAAACTCAAAGCAGCCTCACCAATAGGCAGCAATTCAATGCCGTAAACATACATATAATAAAATAAACATCTACTGTACATTAAAATGAGAATTTAAGACATATCAATATTAAAACAATTATTAAAACCACACAGTCCAAACTCATATTCCAAGGCCGTTCCAGTCATCAATGCACTATTCCATATTTATTTATTGCACCAAAAGGTTATTGTTTAAAGAATTGGTCCCATAACCATGTTTTAACTTTCTTCTTGAAGGTCAGAAGGCAGAGAGCTGGTCTAATTTCACTGTGGGGGGAGTTCCATAGCCAAGGGACCACCACTGAGAAGGCCCTGTCTCTCGTCCCAACCAACTACACCTGTGAAGGAGGTGGGACTGAGAGCAGGGCCTACCTAGAAGAACTTAACCTCCTTTAAGGATCTTGTGATCTTTTTATAATTGTTAATCTTTTTGCTGATCTCTTAATAGCTTTTGAAGAAATTAACCATATTATCTCATTGGATAAATTTTGCAAAGTGAGACCTAGCAGTTCTGTTAATATCTATAGGGTGAGGTGCTATGGGAATTGAGACTTGCGTTCAGCTCCATGATTATTAAGCTATAGAGTGGCACATGTCTCTGTTTTGTCCTCAGTACTTTTTAGGCATATACGAATTAACAGGAGGCGGAGAGGTAGGTGACATCAAGTTGCTGATGGCACCCAGCTTTATTTCTTTTTATCATAGTCTGTCTTTATCATAGTGAGGCTCTATTGGAGTTGGACTGGTGCCTGGATGCTGTAACGGCCTGGATGGGGACCAGTGAACTGAAGCTTAATCCCAAAAATATGTCAGCCCTGTGCATCAGTGGTTACTATGTCTGAGAATAGGACAAACAAATTGATCTGGTTATAGTGCTGTACTGGAATACTGTCAAACATCCTTTATAAGAAACACATTATACAAGATTTAAAGAAATTGAACAGATTGCCTATATATTACCTGTTTGATTTCAGCATGCCAACTGATGATTTTAAAAGCTATAAACAGCTTCAGATGCACACAAGCCATGTATGTATATATGCCTATCATCTAGTGATTAAGACATGTTAGGGGACATCATGATTAAAATTGTGTTAACAATTTCATTTTGTATAAATTATTTCAAAGTTTTTTGTTTTGTTTTGTGTTTTTCATGTCAGGAGCGACTTGAGAAATTGCAAGTCACTTCTGGAGTGAATTGGCCGTCTGCAAGCATGTTGCCCAGGGAATGCCTGGATGTTTTGATGTTTTACCATCCTTGTGGGAGGCTTCTCCCATGTCCCCGCATGGGGAGCTAGAGCTGATAGAGGGAGCTCATCCACGCTCTCCCCAGATTCAAACCTCCAACCTGTCAATCTTCAGTCCTGCTGGCACAAGGGTTTAACCCACTGTGCCACTGGGGCTCCATTTCAAAGTTATTTTATTGATTATATACTGCTCTAAGATCTTTACATAAAAAGTGACCTTAAAATATTTTAACAAATAAACAGACCCGCCCTGTTTTTAGACTATAATGTACTATCAAAAGATTCTGATTTTTTTACCATTTCAGTAAGCTTATGCCTTTTCTGTTTTGTTTCGGTTGTTAAATAGGTGCCTATTCATTGTCTATTCGTGACTGGGATGATGTAAAAGGAGATCACGTCAAACATTATAAAATTAGAAAACTTGACAATGGGGGATATTACATTACAACCAGGGCACAGTTTGAAACTCTTCAACAGCTTGTTCAGCATTATTCAGGTAAGTTTTGAAACTAAATATGTACTACATTGTTTTATAAATAAGAAAGCACCAAGACAACTTTTTTCCTGTAGAAAACATTAGGAAATGTGATATATGTATGTATATTATATTGATTTTTATCCGAACTATTGGGTTACTGTGAGTTTTCTGGGCTGTATGGCCATGTTCCCAAAGCATTATCTCTTGATGTTTTGCCCACATCTAAGGCAGGTATCCTCAGAGGTTGTGAGGATGCCTGCCATAGATGTGGTTGAAATGTCAGGAGAGAAAGCTTCTGAAACATGGCTATACAGCCCGGAAAACTCACAGCAACCTACTTACTCAACATTAATTTCTATGGATGTTCCATATTTTTAAAATATATCACCTATTCTTTTTTTAAAAAAATGTCATAGAAGCATTGAAGCATTTTGACTGTTGTCTTCATTAACTATGAAAACGAATAAAGAAGACATGACATTGACCATACATTTCCACCCTCACAGTTTAATGTAGTGTCCATATACTTCTTTTGCGCACATTATTTCAGCTTCAGAATTTCGTTTTCACATCAAGGATATCACTTTGGGTGCCTCCAAATTCAAAATAACCTTTCTGTCTACATCAGGCATGGGCAAACTTGGGCCCTCCAGGTGTTTTGGACTTCAACTTTCACAATTTCTAACAGCCGGCAGAAAATAAATAATATACAAGAGGCAAATGCTTATGGCCAATATATTTACAGGAATCGTTCTAGGGAATATATAGGATTACTGATCACAGATACAAGCGCTCAGCAGGTGTAGTTTGAATGACAGTTGTGCTCTTCACAATGGTTCTATTGACTTGATAATCCTAGCTGGATTTGAATTCCTGTCCACTACAAAGAAGTCACTTCAGCTGTATATATTTCCTCTGTCTGCCTTAGAAAGTATTGTAACTCACTCAGCTCTTGAATTCCATAGGCTTTTTGCAAACTTTTGTTGATCACCACAGCTAAGTGTAAAATCACAAACCCAATAAACAAAAGAGCCTTAGGAAGCTATTGGTCCCACAGAAATTTGTCTGGCATTGCCTCCAACTGAAATTCTTATTAGGATTAATAGTAGTGTTAGATCGCAGTCTTATAGACATGTGCATGGTAGTAAGTCCTATTCATCCAAACAGGACTTATTTCCAGGTAGACATGCATAGTTAGCTTTCAGATAATTTTAAACCCTTATAAAACTTTAAATAATTTACCATGAGCCCATAATTGCTATGTTTTCCTCATTTCATTTGATATGCAGAGGCAGTTTTTACAGTAATGTTACCTTCCCAACTTGATGCCCTCCAAACATTTGGACTTAAGTTTCCATGAGGGCTGGTCCTTGACCATATTAGTAGAGGTCAGTGGCAGCTGCAGTCCAAAATAACATTGGAAGAATTGATGAACCTTTACATATTAATTGTATACATCCCATGCCATTTGGAGTGGCAGTATCCCAATTTTTTACTTGAGATTATTTTTAACCCTCTTATGTATTTTTCAAGTCGCTGTTCGGCAAATGTTGAAACTGTAAATATTGGGTCATACTTAATGCTTATTGTGGCAAGGAGCCACTACAATAAAGCTGGCCCTATGCAGCTGAGCCAAAAGACTTACAGAGCTTACTCAAAATACATAATTTATTGAAATGTTTTTCCCCAACTGTGTTCCCATATAAATAGGCCCCTCATGACTTAATATTTTACAATTTTATTGATTTCCTATTTTGTTCTAACGATTCCCTATTTTATTGCAATATATCAAAGTAATAATAATAATAATAATAATAATAATAATAATAATAATAGGGAAGTATCCGACGTGTGATCCAACAGCCAGCAGAGTGGCTGCTGTGGATTCATTTTGTTGTATTTCATATAATGACAACAGCAACAACAACTTTATTTTGAAACCCCATCTCCGTTTTCCCGAAGGGACTCGGGGCAGCTTACATGGGGCCAAGCCCAGTTGACAGTTAAAACATAACATGTACAAAATGTAATAATCAATATAAAACAACATAAGCAACATTATAACAATAAAACAAGTATCAGAAACAACAACTAATAGTATAATGCAAGTAGGTGAATATTAAGTGTTATCAGCATAAAATTTTGGTGGCCTGTCATTTATTACATCATTGACTGATCCACCTTAAATATTTCTGTGCAATAGAATCTACATCATTGTTCTGGAACAGAGAATCTCTTGCAATGTCCCCTACAACACTGAGGGCATAAATAAAAAATAAAATAAAAGAAGAGTGAGAAGTGATTCCCCAACTGTGTTCCCATATAAATAGGCCCCTCATGACTTAATATTTTACAATTTTATTGATTTCTTCTCCCACCCCCCACACACACACTTGTTAAAAATCTTCTCCCACCCCCCACACACACACTTGTTAGCTTTTATACTCTAAAACAAAACAAAAAAGCAATTACATCTAGGCCATGCAAAACTGTACAATAATATTACAATTCAAAAAATCCCTAAAAATCCCTTTTAAAAAAATAAATGATATGAAATCATGATACATATAAAGACAGGTTATAATTGCTGTGAAATACCCCAAAATTGGTTTTTGGTTGTGGATTGCTTCCTCATGGATAAGGCAAGTCCTTGTGCAGGAAGGGAGCATTTCCATAAAGAAAGACAAGGTGGGTGACATGTTGCATGAAATCTCCTTAATGCACAACGTGGTCTAAAAAGTTGAAAATCAACAGCATATCTGATTTTTGCAGGCCCCCTTGTAGGCTCATAGTTGGAAACACAGATCTATCTTTCAGGAAAAGCCTGATAGTCGTGATGCACCTGGGATGCAACCCGCTACTGCCCCAATAGCCTTCAGACATGGCACCTACTTACACTGTGCTCAAATTTGGACGTTAGCCTCTCAGTGACATTCACCTCCAAGGCATGTGTTCTTCCTGAGGTCTCCAAGCAGGGCATCTGTATATGGAACCCAGGTTATACAGAGGTTACTTTCACCCACGGTGAAATTTCCTAAGGCTAAGAAGGTCCTTGCAGCAGGCCAGATTTGAGGTTTCCAATTTCTGACGTAATGGGTTGTTGTTTTCTACTCACTGCCTAAAAAGCCACAGTTGTTTTTTCCATATTCAGGGTCATAAACCATCATTGCGAATTCAGTCATCCAAACTCACATCGCTATAGACCAAAAGCTCTGTTTGACTGAGAATGCATCTGTGATTAATCTCATTTTCCAAATACATTATTGCATGTCATGTTATCATATTTTCAAATAGAGACAAACAAACAATTATTCGTGCTATACACAACCTTTTGATTTAAAAAACCCTAAATTTGAGGTCATGATTAACAAATGTCATGATTAGCAAAAGTTTCTTTCATTGTATTTTTAATGTCTTTGAAAGTGATTTGCAAACATGTGGCCATTTTCGTTTTCTTTGCATTTACTACCCAAATATCTATTTGATGAAATGCAGCCTCAAATAAACACACACACACATTTAAACTTATTTTTATTCCATAAGTATTTATTGAATGTTTAATCTTTCATCAATTTTTATTTTTAAAAGAATGAACAGGTTGCTGATAGGTTTTTCAAAAGGTGATATTTTCATAACATTATACTTAATATGATTACAGTGAACTAAATGTGCCATTTCCTATGTCCATAATTTGCATTATACAGCCCTTTTGTGAGAAATCATAAGCTGAAATACTTGTTTATACAGTATTTGTATTCCTTTTTTTAAAAAATTAGCCTTTTCACTTGGTGCATGTGCATTTATAAATATGCATGAATTCAGTATTCCAGAAACATCATGTAAGGTTATCTTCAAAATATTTCTTTGTCAAAACTTTAAAAAATGTCCTTCATGTGGTACTTCTACAGTAGCCTAACTATAACAGTGTCTAAGATTGTTCAGTATTTAAATGTGTTATAAAAACATGGTCTGTTTGGGATTATTCTTGCATATTTTTACTTCTGTTTCTAATGTTACTCAGGACTTTTTCTGCTGTATTTAACTAGCGCTAATAAGAATTCTGACCTTCTCACAATGCTTGGCCCAATGCTGTCCTAACTGGAGGAGTGCACTTCAGATGTAATGCCTTCCCCCTTTAAAAACACTAATTAACGCTACGACTCTCAGATGTTGCCCCTCTGTTCACTGTTATGTCAAAGCACTCACTCCATTTTGACTTTAAGATCTGTTTATTCCATCTACATCCAGCCTCTTGTATGTGAATTATTTGTTGCTTGTTGCCTCAGCTCTTCTGCTGGTGTAAAGCTGAAATTGTTGTCCAGCATTAATTTTTGCAGAGAACACAAAAATATGTTGCTTCAAAGGAACTCCATGCCTTCTGCTGTCTGTTTCAAGGCAGGATATGAGTTAGGATGGAGTTAGGATGGAGAGTGAAGATATAGCCAGCACCTGATGGAAGGCCTGCTGTGTTTTTATCTTCTTTATTTGGTTTAAATATATATTTTAACAACATGTAATTAAATTGTTATATATCATTTAATTGGTGTAAGCCACCTGTGTCAGGAAGAGGGCAGGGTAGAAACGGAAAGAATGAATGATATCTCTTACTCTAGTTAAAATTGGTGCCGATACAACCATTGAACAAATAATTTAAGAGATTATTGCACACAACTAACTCTGCATTTACTTACCATGGTTAAGAATGTGGTAACATAATCTTGGTTTGCTGTCAAGGGCTTTTATGGCCAGAATCACTGGGTTGCTGTCAGTTTTCTGGGCTGTATGGCCATGTTCCAGAAGCATTCTCTCCTGATGTTTCTCACACATCTATGGCAGGCCTCCTCAGAGGTTGTGAGGTCTATTGGAATCATGATAGGTGTCTATGAACAACGCTGGCTCTTTGGCTTAGAAATAAAGATGAGCACCACCCCCCAGGGTCCGGCACAACTAGACTAAATGTCAAGGGGAAACCTTTACCTTATGCTGCCTAAGGCTGCTGGGATTTACAGTCCAGCAAAAGCTGTAAAACCACCATAATTCATATTGAATTAGATCAGTTTGCCTACACATCAATGCAAGCTGTTGGAATAATAGGAAGAAACGGAGAAGCCTTGAACCTACTCTCTTACTCCAAAGATTAATAAATGTTTTAAGGAGGCAGTGTGTTTATCTTCAAGCCTTTCTCCCCTCTCCTTTTGGAATGCTACTAACAGATGATGCAACTTGTTTATTAGCAGTGTTTTTCTTGCTTGCTGTGTTTGTTTCATGTTTGTTACTCTTTTCTTTCCCCTGTGCTTCACTTCTGCTTCATCAGAGAGAGCTGCAGGTCTTTGCTGCCGCTTAGTAGTCCCTTGTCATAAAGGAATGCCAAGGCTTACTGATCTGTCTGTCAAAACCAAAGATGTCTGGGAAATTCCACGAGAATCACTGCAGTTGATCAAGAGACTGGGAAATGGGCAGTTTGGGGAAGTATGGATGGGTATGCAGAGACTTTTTTTCCCCTAAGAGTCTCCCATTTTTGGGCGGCAAGTGTGGAAGATGGAATGTGGAAACAAAATGAGTCGTGACCAGCAGCATCAAAAAACAGACATATTTGATTACTAAGGATAATATGCTCCCAATGCTGAAAACCAGCACTGCATAATTTATACAAGATGAAAAAGAAAAGCCAATCTCTGCACTCCTAGCTTCAGTCAAGCTTGACAAATTACCTTTGCCTTAATAATCAAGATGGACACGTTCTAATCTTTTAATTATGCAAAGGTTTTATCCAAAAGTTACCTGAGTTCAGGCTCTGAAGGACAAAAACACATTCCATCTTTCTGAATGCATGCCATAACTACGTGAATTATATGTATTTCTTTTATTAATTTCCTTTCCTGTAGAGAAAGCTGATGGTTTATGTTTTAACTTAACTAAGATTGCATCGAATTACACTCCACAAACTGTCGGATTGGCTAAGGATGCATGGGAAGTTGCACGAGATTCATTGTTTCTGGAAAAGAAGCTGGGTCAGGGCTGTTTCGCTGAAGTGTGGAGTGGTAAGGCAGCAGAAACCGTTCTGTTTGGGATGCATACCTAGTGTCCACATGAAAAATGTCCCTTTCAAATATCAAGCAATATGACATTATCATCTAAAACAAAAACATCTAAACCGCCAGTTGTTGGACAGGCCTCATTTGTCAATTTGTGCAAGTCCATATACTCAAATAATAAGTACAAGTACTAAATGAATAATTTAGTATTCGTCACAATAGACCATAAAAGGTCTATTGCAGAGGTCCTCAAACTGTTTAAACAGACGGCCAGGTCAAAGTCCCCCAAACTGTTGGAGGGCTGGATTATAATTTGAAAAAATCATGAATGAATTCCTATGCACACTGCAAATATCTTACTTGTAGTGCAAAAAGCACTTAAAAACAATACAATAATTAAAATGAAGAACAATTTTAACAAAAACAAACTTATTGGTATTTTAATGGGAAGTGTGGGCCCGCTTTTGGCTGATGAGATAGGATTATTGTTGTTGTGTGCTTTCAAATCATTTCAGACTTAGGTTGACCCTGAGGGAGGGCCGGGTAAATGACCTTGGAGGGCTGTATTTGGCCCTCAGGCCTTAGTTTGAGGACTCTTGGTCTATTGTGATCAAAGCCTGGAGGGGGCTCCATATCATACCAAGCCATCCAAATCAGAGATAGGGGCATCTATTTCCCTCATGACAAAGATGTTCACTAGTGTATTACTATCAACCCTCAACATTCACTGGTGTTGGGAACATAAGATGCCTGCAAAAGTGAAAAACTGCAAATAAATTGCTATTTTTTTACCTGGGAGAATACCTCCATAGGAATTTCTGACAGTTGCCTCTTTTTTCAACTTTTGCTGGAAATAGACCATAAATTTGCATTGGAGGACCTAGAAATTCATAGGGAAGTGCTCTTTCTAGAAAGCTAAGTCTAGGTCAGGTCTGGGCAAACTTTGACCCTCCAGGTATTTTGGACTTCAACTCCCACTATTCCTAACAGCCAGTAGGCTCTGAAACAAAATCAGTTCTTGTTTTCTGGGGCCAGTTGATGAGGTGAAAAAATTATCTCATATACCCCCCCCCCCAAAAAAAAGGAGGGATTGGTTAAATCTGATAGCTTCAGCTCCCATTCAAGGAATCTTCTTAAGCCCACCCCTTTATTTTATTTTGTACCTTATTTGACAGACATGCTTCCACATAACTGTGAAGAAAAATAAAGTCATGCACTAGCAAACATTTTTATCATGAGGAAAACGAACTGCCTCTGTCTCTGATTGCAAATGACCTTACAGCTAGACACATAGACTTAGCCCGATCTTAATAGTCTTTTTGTAAACAAAGCAGCCCAGATCCAGAATTCTGAAATCCAAAATACTTCAAAATCTTAAATTGTCCACATGGATGGCTGAGATGGGGACACCTTTATTTTCTGGTGGTTCAGTTTTCACAAACTTTGTTTCATGCACAAAATTGATTTTAAAATTGCATATCTAATTGCCTTAAGGCTATGTGCATGAGGTTCCTCTGAAACATAAACTAATTCCATTTTTAAATATAGGTCCCATCTCTATAATATCTTTTTTTGTACATATATGCAAATACAGGGGTTCCAAAATCCAAAACACATCTGAAATCCAAAACACTTGTGGTCCCAAACATTTCAGATAAGGGATACGTAACCTGTATGAACACTGTCCATTATACAACATTATTAAAAATAATATAACAATTGATTTCAAATATATAGACTTTAAGAACATAGCCCTTTTTTATAACTTAATTTACTGATTTTTTTTTCTATCTCAGAAATAAGCATGTCTCATCTGAAAACAATATGGAAAAAAACCCAAGGATAACTTTAAATATTTTTTGTGGTTCATGAATTACACATCCGAACAGATTTTGTTGAACTGATGCATGTATTTCTCAGACATGTTCCTAGTTTCAGATCCAATGCTGAACTCAGCTTAGAGAAAAAAACAATATCTTATCTTTGTGTTTTAATTTTTTGAACAAAAAATATTGTTTAGTGTGCTGCTTTGGCCAAAGCTGTATATAGTCTTTGGCTATTAGCAAGTATTTTCCTCCTTTAATGAGTTCCCTCAAATAAATGTAACTAATTTTAGCAATGAAACATTAATCAGCAAAATTTTGCCCAGTAAATTTTGCTGCTTTAGCTGCTCTTAGAAAAAGAAGGATAGATAGATAGATAGATAGATAGATAGATAGATAGATAGATAGAGATAGCTAGATAGCATATCAGTGGTATGTCTTAACTGTAATGAAAGTAGCTTCCCATATTCCTCTATCAACTAAAGTGGAAGGATCTAGATGACACCGACTTGGTTTTCTTTTTCAAGAAATCAGTGTAGTTCTAGATCTCTCCAAGGGTTAATCAGTGCCAAACACTGACACATATTGTTATTATCGTATAAGCTTTATTGGTGGCAAATGTTGCAGTGGAAGATAGACAGCACTGAAGGAGCTGTGTATTTAGCTCAGGCTTGGACAAACTTCAGCCCTCCAGATGTTTTGGACCCACTCCCACAATCCCTAACAGCCACAATCCCTAACAGCCAGTAGTCCAAAACACCTGGAGGGCCAAAGTTTGCCCAGGCCTGGTCTAGGCCTCTCAAAAATGGGGTGCAGCAATCATATCCAGTGCTGGAATTGGGTCCCAAAACAAATTCTATCCAAACGAACTATGGCCAGCCATCAAATTCCTGACCATTGGACATATGGACAGCTTGGTTGGGGTGTATCCTGACTGGCTGGGGCCAACCTAAGATTGGCTCCCAAAGGCTATATAGTGCAGAAGAACGCATAGAAAATCTGACTGCACCAACATTATCTATATGCCGCCCCCCCCCCCTAAAGATATGAGAATTATGCAACTAGCAATAAAGACATTCATTTCTCCAATCCATTCCCATCCTTTATATCTTTGCCCAACCTCAAACTACAAAGCAAATGTAAAAATACAAATTAAATCTTTCTTGCTACTGATAACGTTTGGCCATGGCCAATCCATCTGTCTGGTGGAAGGAGCATAGCTCACAACACCAGATGGCAAAAATTCTGCAGCTGCATCAATACTCAAAGCTGCTTCAGATATCAGAGTTTATGCAGAATTCGGAAGTGTTACTTTTCTAGAGTAAAACTCAGAATTATGTAGCCAGCAACTCAGGTTGAATGAGGTATTTGGGAAGTGAAGTTCCAAATGGAGATCCCAAAAATAACTTTTCCAATATCTATACTTACTGATCTTTTTTACCACTCCTATGCACTAATGTTAAAAGTATTGTACTTAAATAGTTTCATGATCTATGCAGGCATGGCATCTTTTGACTCGCGGTGTTGGTGGTTTCTTGGTTTTTTAGGTACCTGGAATGGGAATACTAAAGTAGCAATAAAGACATTGAAGCCTGGCACAATGTCCCCAGAATCATTCTTGGAAGAGGCTCAGATCATGAAGAAGCTAAAGCATGACAAGCTGGTCCAGCTTTACGCTGTGGTGTCTGAAGAACCTATCTATATTGTCACAGAGTACATGAGTAAAGGTAGGTGAGAGTCACTGCTTCTTGTGAAAACTCCCAGGTGGATCTGCTTTGGCACATTCCAGCTGTGCTTGTGCATCTGGAGGAGAAGGTGTGTTGTCCAGCCAGTGTTGTCCAGTCTTCCCCAGCTGAAAAAGCTTAACTTGAATATGCCGAGTTACATCCCCGTAGTCATATCAAGATTACATCTGTGATCATCGTGGCTATGATTATGTACCCAAAGTAGGAAGCAGTGAGCAAAGAAGGACAGGATAGCTCTTCAATACCCCCTGCCCCAAAACGTAGACATGCATATGACCCAGCAGTAGCAAGTTATGCTTGAATCTCTACATTTACATGTTTATCTATTGCAGTGGTTCTCAACCTGTGGGTCCCCAGGTGTTTTGGCCTACAACTTCCAGAAATCCCAGCCAGTTTACCAGCTATTACGATTTCTGGGAGTTGAAGACCAAAACATCTGGGGACCCACAGGATGAGAACCACTGCTCTGCTGGTAATTACTTTGCTGTAAGGTGAACAAATAGGAAAGTAAACAAGCCTACCTTTGGGAAATTCTGTTGTAGCTGTTCTTGCTTTGAATGATTGTAGTAGAATATGAACGTAGCCTCTAATTTGTTGACATGTTGACTTTCTTTGTTATGTTTTGTTTAACCTCTAGATGAAATTAAATTATCTTTAAAAAATGCTTTTTAATTAATTAGAGAATGTAGCCTTGCTAATTTGTTTCCTGTTATCATCTAATAGCGGGGGCTAAGCAGAGATTAAAATGCAGTGTTTTAGTTCATAATAAGCTGATAGTGATTCAAGGAGTGTTATCTGGAACGTCTTGGCAAATCTGTGCAGGTGAACCAGGACTGTTAATTCAGTTTTCTAATCTTGAATCACAAGGATTCCTGTTCATGTAGCTATAAACTATTAATAAAAAAATTCAAATTAATTTAATCAGATTTAACAGAAACATATATTTACAGAAAGGAATTATATATAAGACAACAACAATTTAAAAGAAATTATACAGACACACCTAGGATAACCTCACAAAAATGGAGTGTCCTTTCTCCATCAAGGAATATCCTTATTTTCATGGTTGGAGTATTATTGCTATGCAACAGTAAATATTTTTTGACACCAGAGCATTAAAACCTGTTTTCCTGACTTATTTTTAGTACCTAAATGAGAAAACAAAACATGTAGCCCTAGATAACCCACTGCGCCCCCAGTGGCGCAGTGGGTTAAACCCCTGTGCCGGCAAGACTGAAGACCGACAGGTCGCAGGTTTGAATCCGGGGAGAGGCGGATGAGCTCCCTCTATCAGCTCCAGCCCTCATACGGGGACATGAGAGAAGCCTCCCACAAAAATGATAAAAATGTCAAATCATCCGGGCGTCCCCTGGGCAACGTCCTTGCAGACGGCTAATTCTCTAATACCAGAAGCAACTTGCAGTTTCTCAAGTCATTCCTGACACGACAAAAAAAAAAGCTAATCTATATACCATTATGCTTATATATTTTTTCCTGTGCCCACTTTATTATGGATGACAATCTAGGGAAGGCTGAATCTCTGTGTGACTACTGTAGAGTCTCACTTATCCAACCTTCACTCATCCAACGTTCTGTATTATCCAACGCAGTCTGCCTCCCGCCAAGATCCACAGCTGTTTCAATACATTGCAATGTTTTGGTGCTAAATTCGTAAATACAGTAATTGCTACATAATTTTACCATGTATTGAACTGCTTTTTCTGACAATTTGTTGTAAAACATGATGTTTTGGTGCTTAATTTGTAAAATCATAACGGAATTTGACATTTAATAAATAGGCTTTTCCTTAATCCCTCCCTATTATCCAACATTTTCACTTATCCAACATTCTGCCAGCCCGTTTATGTTGGGTAAGTGAGACTCTACTGTAGTTTGAAACATTACTAGTATTAGATGTTTTGTTGTAATTTAGTTTGTCCAGCGTTTTTTCAGATTATTTCCTACATCACATATTGGACTGTTCTGGGCATTTCCTAACAACCATTTTGTACAGTACAGAATCTGCTGTTGTTTATTTGATTAAGATATGATCCATTTTCAAACAAAAATTTAAAAACTCTAGAATATTATAAGGAATGGTTGATCCAGGACATGAAAATTTACTGTGCAAGAGTTTTAGGTATTACTCAAAATATGATGGAAACTGCCCTTCAGTATAATTTATTCAAGATCATGGTATTATGAGTAGAGGCAATCCCTTTCTTTTATTTCTACACTTCCTATGCTTCTATGGTGGGCAGTACGTTCCTCTCTTTTAGTTCCAAACATCCCATTTGCCAGTTTAGTGTCTTACATATAATATCTTGAAGGGATCTGGTGTTTGTCGTCATACCCGCCCTAAGACAGAATCTTCATTTCTTTCATCCTCTAGGAATCTGGGACTTTATCTCTGAGAATTTCTGGCCATTGGCCAAGTTGACTGGGGCTTCTGGGAGCTGAAGTCCAAAACTCCTGGATTGCCAAAATCTGAGAATTATTACTATAAGTTAAAAAAAAATCCCTGTCTCTGATAACCATCACGGAAAGGGGTTTATGTGGTCACCTAGGACATTGTTTTGTGACTGACAGAGTTAGCCTATATGTCCTGATGCTTCAGTAGATTTATTGTGTGGACTTTCAACGGTATGTAGTTAAGCCCTCCTGCAGATGAAGCAGTTTCTATCAATAGAATGGAAAGTGGGGAAATTCCTGCTCCCACACAGAGGCCTGCAAAAGAGCCTTGGTAAACCATCCCTTTCCCAGACAGTTTTGAAACTATGCAGATTTTCTCTGCTTATTTAATTTATTTATCATGTCAGAAGCAAATTGAGGGTACAGTTATAATGTATTTAAAAACACAAAGTTAAAAAATAGGCATTATGCTAAATGTCCTTTGACCAAAAGCTGGCCACTTGGAGTGCCTCTGGTGTCACTGTGAGAAGCTCCTCCATTGTGCATGTGGCAGGACTTTTCAGGAATGTCATATCTGTGCAAAATTCATATTCCAATACCTTAGAACTATATCATTCATAGCCGTGGGGATATATTGTTTTCACCTTTTTAGGATTTCACATAAGACACATTTTGAAAGGTTTTAATTTTTCATTCTCTTGATTCCCATTTACTCGATAATCTATACAGATTACAGGCTCTATTATCTTAATACCAGCTCTTAAATTTTTAAATTTATTATTGCATTGCATGAATCTTTAAATGGAAAGGGTTATTGATTTCCATCTCCTAAGGCAATTAGATCTTGGCTCCATCAATTTGGTGAGGTCAAGCGTTGTGGTGTGATGCAGCCACTTTTTCCTCCACCAGGGAATGCTTAACTAAGCATTCTCCACTGACCTTTAAAATGCATTATCTGTATGGGCAGTCTGTGCAAAATATTGCTTAGGTGGTGGGAAGAACTCTTTTAAAAACTTAGCAATGGAGGTGGTTGCCATTTACCTTTCTAAATTGCCATGTATAGTGATAGATTCATCATATGAAATAGTGTTCCTTGTTTGGTTGGCCATATTTTATGTACAGCTCTCATGTTCTTAACAGATTCAATTATTGCTACATTGTGGAGCATGGCTTTCATTTAGGGATAAAATTATTTTTTTCAAAGACATACATTTGTTCCAAAGTTCTGTGTAGTTGATGTTCCCATGGGCAGACTATGTGGGAGGTAGCCAAAAGTTGGAGGCATGCTGAAAGAATGTGAAGGGGAATTGTGACTTCATATGGATAGAGGGAAGATTAACCAACATGTCCTCCTTCACCACTTTCCAACTTAAGGGATGCTTTGTGTTGCATCTGATTCACCCTTGAGTAAAATTAAGTCTTTCATGAAACAATGGTCATATGTCATGAATACTATCCATCCACTATTCCATCTTCCAGTCCACTCTAAGGAAAATCTGATGCTCCCTAGCAAAAACATAAAATGCAAGTTGCGGTTCAGATCCCAAAGGCCACACTTCTTCCTTTCTCAAAATGTGCTTCAGAAGCAATAACAAAGATATTCCAGGTGAAAAAGAATTTGTGGTGCAAACAACACAATAAACTCCTAAGGCAGATGTTTTGGCCTACAACTCCCAGAAATCCCAGCCAGTTTATTTGTGTATCTATTTATAGAAAATACCATTGCTACTTATTACAAATGAAAGTAAATATTATTGAATGATGAAAGGGGAATAAGATATGATGACTAACTAATAGCACATAATGACTGAGGCATATGACTGAGGGATAATGCGATTTCTATTACTGTTTTTGGAAGAATTGTACATGTGCCCATTAGTACCTACAATGAAGAATACTGGCAATTTATACCAGCTTAATGTTGTAAAATGATATTACTCTCATATTTCAGTTGATTGCATTGTTTCACTAGAAATGTGTTTAGGTTGAGCTGCATCAGTGTTTAAAAACTGGGTCTGGGAGTATGAAAGTGGAACCTAAATACAATTGTTTCATTGGTTTCATTGATGCACTAGGCATACTCTTGCTGGGATTAACAATTGGATTTACACTCCGATTAGCCATTTCTACATCTGTAACTGTATATTGTGTGTATGTATATATATAGTTAAATGGCCTCAAACTGTTCAGAAAGAAAAATATAATGAGTTTTATTTTCAGAATAATACAACTGCACTTCCAAGTTATAAAGATAATATAAGAATAATAACTCTATTCTTATACCCCGCCACCATCTCCCTGAAGGGACTCGGGGCGGCTTACAAGGGTAATGCTTGAAATACAGGTTAAAACCCACACAATAAAAACAACAACATCAAATAATATCAATCACAATACACAAATTAAAAACAGTATCATGGGTGAAAGATTAAGTGCTGAATGCAGCGGTTGGGGGTGCATATTCCTTATGGAAGTAGATGTACCGTAATTACTTTCGTAAATAAATAACATTACTGTAAATTGTCCGGCATCTAGTAGAAGCTTTAAAAAAATGAAATCCTTTGCATTGTAGGAAGTTTGCTAGATTTCTTGAAGGATGGAGAAGGAAGAGCCCTGAAATTGCCAAACTTAGTGGACATGGCAGCACAGGTAAATCTTGAACTAATAATGATATAATTTATTCATTGTCAAAGTGCTATATTTATATTAAGCAGAGTACATTGTGTTTAATCTAACAGGTTGCTGCAGGGATGGCTTACATCGAGAGGATGAATTACATACACAGAGACTTGCGTTCTGCAAACATTTTGGTAGGAAATGGTCTAATATGCAAAATCGCTGATTTTGGCTTAGCAAGACTAATTGAAGACAATGAATATACAGCCAGACAAGGTAGGAGCAGTACCCAATATAATCTTGACTCAAGGTTTGAACATAGTTGGCAGGAAGATGTGTCAAAATGTTGATTGTTTCTTTCCATGCTTAGCCAATCTGGTTTATATAGAATCTGAATCAGTATTTCATTGAAGAATATGAATAGAGAATTGCAGCTCTTTATCATTCCCAGCACAGAGCATGCACAATTGTTTTAATCTATTTCCACAGCCATTATCTGCATCAGCCTGTTTTGCATCTCTGATGAAATGGCTGCAGTCTGTGAAAATTTATGTCAAATAGAGCTCATTAGAGTTTAAAGTCTTTTAATGTGTGGTCTCTCTGAATTGAAAGGATTTAATCTGAAGGATCATTTCTGAGACACATGACTTTTTGGTGCTAGAATGTCATCAGGATGATTGGAGACAGCAAAGCAACAGAAGTAACCATTTCTGTATGAACATGTCAGCAGTGTTCCTGATTGGAAAGAAAGCGGGCATTTCCAAGACTGGTTGTTTTCAGTGCAAGTTGATGTTGAGTAATAATGAATATAGTGAAAGCTATAAATATAGGGGATTCTCTTGCTGCAAGGGAAAACGCACCAACGAGCCTGAAATTTAATACCACATACCAACATTAACTGCAGCATTTCCCTCATTCTCCCAGAGCAGCTTAAAAATATCAGGAGCGAGATGTTGTTCTAAAGATAAGTGAGCAGCTTATAGGAAAAACTTGGCACCACAGATTTTATCTAACTCAATTGTTTTGTTTTGTATTGGAATAATTACATTCTACTTAGTGAATTAGGTAACAATGTGTAATTTTTTTAATTATCCAGGAATCTTGTTGGGCAGTCGTGAATGTCTTATTTCCATAGTTATGGAGCTACACAGTGTATTCAAGCCAAACTGCCGCAGTCCACACTTACTGTCAATTTATTTATTTATTTCATGTCATATTTTGCATAAATAATGTTTAAAACTTATAAAAATAGAGGGAGCACAAGCAGCAAAATAATTTTATACCAAAATCAGGCAACAGTGGCCACATTGTCTCTAGCTTTAAACAATTTTCCTCTGTGCATGAGGCAGAGCATTGTGGGCAAGCATACAGATGCTGAGTTGTTTGTTCTGCTCCACAGTCGCACAAGGTAGAGGATTCTTCTAGGTCAGTGTTTCTCAACCTGGGGATTAGGACCCCGGGGGGGGGGATCATGGGTGTCAGAGGGGTCACCAAAGAACATCAAAAAGCACAGTATTTTCTGTTGGTCGTGAAGTTTGGCCCAATTCTAATCTTGGTGGGGTTCAGAATGCTCTTTGATTGCAGGTGAACTATAAATCCCAGCAGCTACAACTCCCAAATGACAAAATCAGTCCTTACCCCTCCCCAACCCCACAGTATTAAAATTTGGGTGTATTGGGTATTTGTGCTGAATTTGGTCCAGTGAATGAAAATACATCCTACATATCAGATATTTGCATTACGATTCATAACAGTAGCAAAATTACAATTATGAAGTAGCAACAAAAATAATTTTATGGTTTGGGGTCACCACAACATGAGGAACTGTTTTAAGGGGTTGTGGTATTGGGATAGTTGGAAAACACTGTTCTAGGTAGTGCCATTTTGTCAGGTTGTCTTTTGATCTGCCAACTTACTGTCAATCAACCGCTGTGATCAATGGGGGTCCATTCCCTTATGGCTCAGCAAGGAGCTGATTGATGTTCTCACCCCTTCCTGTGAACTATTTCTTCACTGCGACATTCAGGAGCATGGTCCTATCACAATTCTTGCCAGAGATCACTCAGATGAGGAAGGATGGGAGTGTCAGTCAGTTGCTTCCCGAATGACAGTGGAAAGGACCCCATCAATTGAAACAGTTGCTTCTTAATAAGTGAGGATTGGGAGCTATGTATCCCCTAAATTTACTACAATTGAAAGTAAATATTATTGAATGAGGTGGGAGAGAGCATAATGTATGATGTCCCAACTAACAGCTGCTAATGATCACAGCACAATTCCAATTCTATTACTAGTTTTTGGAAGGATTCTTGGTTGAATGTGTGCTCATAAGTACTTAAAATGAATTTCACTCGCAAATTATACCATTGCAAAATGATGTTATGCTCATTTTTTTTCAATTACTGGAACTAGGACCTACATAATGATCATAATACTTCACTGTTACAAACGTGGGTGAAAGTATAATAGCTGGGCCCCAGTGCTGGTAGTGCTACGCTGCTTGCGTAATGCAGCTCTAAATTAGAGAAGGGAGCATGTGCGCAAGAGATCGGACGCAGTGAGAGAAGCACCTGTGACAGAGTTGACAACATAGTTCAGTATAAAGGGAGAGGGGAAACAGGGAAGCATAGTGATGTAGTCTATCCAGAGATTCTAGGCAAGCACGTTCAAAAACATAGTTGCATTGGAATGAAGGATAAAAAAGGAAAGGAGAAATACCAGCAGTGGTGAAAAATGAATGACATCCAGTAACTGTTACATTACTTCACTGTTATCCTGTCCCACCTGCATTACGTTACTTCACTGGTATCTTGCCGCAGCTGCGTCTCTCATTTAGTGTGCTGTCTCGAGAGAGAGCCGAGTTGCGCAACCAGCGTAGCGCTACCAGCACTGGGTCCCAGCTATCATACTTTTACCCAAACGTGTAACTCCAGGTCATGTATTCACAACTCCCCAGCAGCTTTATGTATAAAGCTCTTTTGTTGCAGGCAGAATCTCATCAATCACCCTGCAATTCAGTATACCATCTTAATTTGTTGTTACTACCATATTGTTGTTGTTGTTGTTGTTAGTACTACTACTGTCACTACCACTACTACACATTTTTCTGTTTTCTTAAAGTGACTTAGAAATGTCAGAAATTTTACTTTCCCTGATCAAAGGCCTACAATATAAATAAACAGGACACAGAGAAAAATAAATTGGGAATCTAGAAGAGAGAAAGAGAAAAATCCAATTTAGTTTCTTTGTTGCAAAATCCAGTTATCCAGCACTATGTTCAGCAGGTCATAAAAATTAATTTCAGCATGACACAATAAGCTACCTGGTTGGTCTCCCTCGGGGGCAACTTCGCACAGAAGAAATTGATTTTAACTGTATTTCAGAATAAATGCTAAATCCATCAGTCACTCTGTGTGTGTTTTTTTTAATGCCAGTGATCATCTCAAGAGAGAAAAACAAACATAATGGTCAACCACAATATTGCATGATCATTTTAATTTTCATGCTTTAAAAATGATTGAGCATATCAAACCCCCATGTTACTCCTTTCTCTCTTTTTAGAATATTGTTTCTGGCACAGCATTTTACTATGGTATATATTTCGTTGGTTTCCATATAACATCACGTAAAGCACAAACATTACAATGAATACAGTAAAGCAAAAATCCCATAATAAAGCTCAACATTTATTTTAACATAAGATTTTAAAGTATAAAGTCCAAGTGAACCAGAAAGTCTTCACTTGGCATCAAAAAAGAAAAGTGGGGGAAATTTCACAACATGAAAAATGCTACCACCAAATTTTGCTGAGATGGAATGGAGGAAAGTTGCTTCTGACGACTTCAGCTTTGAGCTAGACACGAGGAGTCTAATATCATTACCTGGATTCCTGAAGAATAGGTGGTCATAGACTGGTTTGCTCATAGTGACCTGAATCCTATAAAGTAGTGGCTCTCAACTTATGGCTCCCCAGATATTTTGGCATTCAACTCCCAGAAATCCTAACAGCTGGTAAACTGGCTGGGATTTCAGGAGTTGTAGGCCAAAACACCTGGGGATCCACAGGTTGAGAACCACTGCTATAAGCATTGCATTATGTGTAAACACCATGGTCTGACCACCATTCCCTGTATCCACTTACTGGGAAGTATCAGCTATGATCAACAGGAATCTGCTTCCCTTTTGCTTGGGAAGCAAGTGACTGGCATTTCTAGCGCCTTCAAAGGGCAATCTCTAGTACTAAAGGCAGAAGGGGTGTGAAAGGAGGGTTCCTGTTGTGATTTTCCTTTGCACAAGGGACTGGAAACATGGATCAGCTGCATCCCAGTTGACATGGGAGCAGACCCCTGTCAATCACTGATACTGCTGCCTGGTAAGTATGACTTTGGGGACTTTCATGGTCTCTACATAGCTCCTCAACTAGGAGCCCTCAGTGGCATTGGGTTAAACCTTTGTGCCAGCAGGACTGGAGACCAACAGGTTGGAGGTTCAAAACCGGGGAGAACACAGATGAGCTCACTCTGTCAGCTCCAGCTCCCTATGCGGGGACATGAGAGAAGCCTCCCACAAGGATGGTAAAACATCAAAACATCCGGGCGTCCCCTGGGCAACGTCCTTGCAGACGGCCAATTCTCTCACACCAGAAGCAACTCCAGTTTACACATTCATAACTGCTGTAGAGGATTCCAGCTACTGACTTGAAAAGAAAGAACAAAATTATTCATTCATTCCATTTTTATTCTAATACATACAGCTTCTTTTGCATGTGTTGAAAAACCTCTCAAAAGGAAATTATTTAGTGAGCTAGAAGAACTTTCTTAGGCTTGATTTAGTAGACAGATTGGTATTAGTTGGTGAGTTATCTAGGCTTGTCTGTATACATTATTGAAGCTGGCTTGTGAAAGAATCATGAAAGGACTCATAACACAGTAGTCTCATTTATCCAACCTTTACACATCCAACATTCTGTATTATCCAATGCAGTCTTCCTCCTGCACGGATCCACAGCTGTTTCAATACATTGCAATGTTTTGGTGCTAAATTTATAAATACAGTAATTGCTACATAATGTTACCGTGTATTGAACTGCTTTTTCTGTCGATTTGTTGTAAAACATGATGTTTTGATGCTTAATTTGTAAAATCATAATGTAATTTGACATTTAATAGGCTTTTCATTAATCCCTCCTTATTATCCAACATTTTCGCTTATCCAACATTCTGCTAGCCCGTATATGTTGGATAGCAAGACTGTACTGTATCTTCCAAATAACTATTTTGAGGCATGCTCATTTTCACAGGAGTTTTCTTCTAATTCCCCCTTGTTTGTGGCTTATTAACTCCGTAGGGATTAGCAATGGCACAGTAAGCCCATAATGCAACCCCCACTTTCCACACCCAGGAGATCCTGTAGGAATGTATCTCAGGGGCTGTGTTGTTTTTCTAACGGGCTCCTGTTCCTGTAGCATCTGCAGCAAACAGGATAAAAAAAAACTAGCTGGAAAAGTTTGATATAGGCCAACCAGCCGTTTCCTTTGGAGACAGGAAGTGTTCCACTCACCCCTGTGAAGAGTTGAAGGTTGCATTTCAAAACACCCAATTTTCTTTTTTCATCTTCTTGCTACTTAGGTATTTTGCATACTTGACATTAATAGGGCTGACTTCCTATTCAAAACACTATATTGAATCTCTGAAGAAATTCCTAAAGGAAGCAGATGGTATTGAGATACACATATTCTGTAGTTTAGTAATAAATGGTATTATTAGTTCTGGTTGGTTTTTTTAAGTGGTTTCCTAATATTTACACTGACTATAAGTTGGAGGGTGGGGGGGGTTATAAACTTTTCTTAGAGACTGATCACACCAGAGAAAAAATCCACTTAAAATCCAGTTTCTGCCTCCTGCAGAAATCTGGGCTTTGTAGTTTAGGGAGGAGCCTTTAACAGCCTCGCTGAAATACAAACCCCAGAATTCTGCAGGAGACAGAAACAGAATTTTAAGTGTATTTTTTCTGTAGTGTGATGAAGTATTTAGTTCTTTCTGAAGTTCCCTGTCCCACACACAAGTTACTTCGCATGCTTGCTATGATTTCTGATAGCAAGATCAAATTTATTGTTAACTGATAACAAAAAATAAAGTCTGGGAGGTCTTCTGAGATGATGGTAATTTGAAGTTTTCACTGAATTGAGTTCAGGGAGAAAGAAAAAGAAACCCGAGGGGTTTCTAGATGAATAAGATGGAACTGGATTTAAGTGGAACATATAAGTAACTATCTGGGAATCTCTGGGTTGCTGTGAGTTTTCCAGGCTGTATGGCCATGTTTCAGAGAAGCATTCTCTTCTGACGTTTCACCCACATCTATGGCAGGCATCCTCAGGTTGTGCGGTCTGTTGAAAACTAGGCAAGTGAGGTTTATATATCTGTGGATTGTCCAGGGTGAGAGAAAGAACTCTTGTCTGTTTGAGTCAAGTGTGAATATTGCAATTGGCCACCTTGATTAGCATTGAATGGCCTTGTAACTTCAAAGCTAGGCTGATTGCTTCCTGGGGGATCCTTTTTTGGGAGGTGTTAGCTGGCCCTGATTTATTCTTGTCTGGAATTCCCCCCCCCCCCCTGTTTTTTGAGCATTGCTCTTTAATTACTGTCCTGATTTTAGAGTGTTTTATCTGGGAATCTGTGTTTTTATCTTGAGTGCTTGTTGCTAGTATGCTCTGCTTGTACATTTGTATATAAAGCAAATATTAGACAGGTTCCCTGAGTTGAAAATTACTGATGCTGCCCATGGCAGATCTGTGGAAGGGAAAACAACCCCTAAAATGTTTGTCTCAAGAAAATATGATCATATTACACTGGATGGGATGGAGTACATTTCCCCACCTTTTCCCACTCACTTAGTTCCATGGTAAAGGGAGGAAAGGAGATGGACTTGCAGTTGTTTATCCCGATTCCAGCACAGGGAGCAGGTGGCCTGGTCTTCATTTTTCCTGTTTTGAGCATATATGTGAACGGGGGTGGTTCTCCCAGAGCTTGGAAGATTACTGAGAAAAGGAATCTGTTGCATTTCATGTTGCCGTCCTTGCCAAACTGTTGGATAATTGTTGTCATTACTGCCCGTGTGGGAGCAGCATCTTCCGTTATGCATGCCCACACATTTATTTAGTTCCTGTTGCCCCACTGACAAAGTCCGCCTCAAAAGATCTTCCTTCTCAGCCCAGGGAGGTCCACAGCTTTCCCCTTCTCCCTTTCTTTCTGTTTCTTCAACACATTTCTTTCTTTTTCTGTTTAAAAACAAAATACAAGCTACGCGGGGACATATGTGGCTCATTGCATCTGCTACCAGCACACTGGGAAGCCTTCCAGAAATGTTAATGGCATAATTTCCCCAAGGCACACTGTGTGTAGAGCCATGGTGTTAGACCACTCTTGCGCAAGAGTACTCTTCTTGTTCTTGGGGGGAGGAACATCTGGAAGGTATCAGCGCTAAGAGGGGGAAAGGAGGCGTATGAATAGCTGTTTCCAATGAAAGGGAACTAGTCCAAACTAACATGTTCCTTTGCACACCTGCACATTCTTGTATGAACTGCCCCAGTGCTCAGTGCCCTCCCAAGCTAGATCTCACTCTCTGCCAAAGGATGCTAGGCTGCCCTCTACACACATGTGGTGCCCTTCTACCTGCAAGCAAAGGCCTTTTTGTGTTGTCAAAGGCTTTCATGGCTGGAATCACTGTATGGCCATGTTGCAATTGGCCACCTTAATTAGGATTGAATGGCATTGTAGCTTCAAAGCCTGGCTGATTGCTTCCTGGGGATCCTTTGTTGGAGGTGTTAGCTGGCCCTGATTGATCCTTTTCTCGAATTTCACAGTTTTTTGAGTGTTGCTCAAAATTAGCATGTTGATTAGCATTTAATGGCCTAGCAATTTCAAGGTCTAGCTTCTTACTGCCTGGGGGGATCCTTCGTTGGGAGTTGATTAGCTGGTCCTGACCTCACAGCCTCTGAGGATGCCTGCCATAGATGCAGGCAAAATGTCAGGAGAGAATGTTTCTGGAACATGGCCATACAGCCCAAAGGCCTTTTTATTTTCTAAACAGGGTTATAGTCGAAAGAGTCTGGATTTTTGCTCTCTTCTTATTGCTGTGTTTGAATTGTTCCTTTAATTTATTGCAGTAGTTTCTACTTGAATTTTCCTATTGCTCTCCACCTTGAGTTTGAGTTCAGTCATCTCTTTGCACCCAAAGATTCGACCATCTGCAGCATGAATATTTTTTTCTAAAAACCCAAAAGGGACTTGAACAATACATGGATTTGGGTATCCACAAGGGTACTGGATCCAAATCCTAGTTGATACCAATGCTCCGCTATGCTATAATAGGCAGAAATGTGGAATATACCTTCAATAAATAATCCTAAAACTTTGATGTGTTCTCTTCCAAAGGACATTACACCCTGTAGCTCAGTAGTTCTCAACCTGTGGGTCCCCAGGTGTTTTGAACTACAACTCCCAGAAATCCCAGCCAGTTTACCAGCTGTTAGGATTTCTGGAAGTTGAAAGCCAAAACATCTGGGGACCCACAGGTTGAGAACCACTGCTATAGCTCATTCCTTGGAATTCCCTATTTTTTGGTGATGCAGAATATGAAATGTAGCAATGTGCCATTTTGTATGTTTATTCCACTTCCAGGTTTATCATTACTACAGGCCTAAATGACCACTTTCCTCTGTTGTGAATTTAGGCCTTACACCATGCTGGTAACTTGATAACTGTGTAGACATAATGAGGGAAAGGGTTAAGGGTTACCTGGCTCATGGTAAAACTGTTTAATAAATAGATCCTTCCTAATAAGAAAGGAAGGTCTAATAAAGGTGAAAACATACTAAAGACACTGTGTAATGTTTTCTGCATACACCTTGCTAATGTTATTTGTTGTCCAACTGTCCTACTGTAGCTGAGGATAGATGTGATTTTCGGCATTATGACAATAGGTAAAAATAGGGAATGGGTAAAAATGTTTCTCAAGACTGTGCATATACATCTGTTTTGTTTACATCCATTACTTTCTGGTAAAGCCACACCTAGATAAGTTAAACAAAGAATCTTGTTATTGGCTTATTTTGACTTACGTCCTCGGGGCTGTGGCTTCCTTGATTGAGTCTATCTGTAATGTGGTCTTCCTCTTTTCCTACTTCCTTCTACCTTACTAAACTAGTGATTAATTATCTTGTTAGCCATCAGTGCATGAACAGACTTATTTTCTTTTTTTAGGTGCAAAGTTTCCCATAAAATGGACCGCCCCAGAAGCTGCACTGTATGGACGGTTTACAATAAAATCAGATGTCTGGTCCTTTGGTATATTACTAACAGAGCTAGTAACAAAAGGGAGAGTGCCATACCCAGGTAAGAAAAAATGAGTATGTTTTCAGACAATTGTATGATTAAGGTGAAATTTTTGGTTTTAATGCCTCAAAATGAAAGATATATGTACATAATGGTGGAAAGGTGTACAAGAGTACTTTTTCATGAAAACAAGAGATGTCTACACACATAGATCTCCCATACATGAGCACCTTTTAAACTCTTTTTTGGATTTCTGTTGTGGTGAAGAGGAACTATTTCATGGGTCTGTGACTATATTATCTCCTAAAGCTGTCAAAAGGCAGTTCCAGATTGGAGAAAAGCTTCAGGAAATCCCAAGTTTTGATCCTATACAAACCGATTCTATTTTGAAGATCCACATGACATTTTCTTCATCCCACATGATTTCTTTGGAGTTCACAGCAGTATCAGAGACTTTTTTTATTCCCACTCCAATGTATTGGAAATGTATTGGTTATTTCCCTTGTGTTTCTACTGTAAGCACAGCTATTGTTTCCAGGATGCAGATTTTCAATAGAGGCCAAACAAGGGAAAGAGGAGTGTTAACGAAACTCACTATAATTCCAGTGCTTAACTAACATAATGTTGCTAAAGAATTTCAGCACTTTAACTATAACTCCTGAAGACTTTCTAAAAGGCCAAGTGGAAATCAGTGGAAATTAATTTTGGAAATGTTGTATGAGACTGTGATAAATGACATGTGGGAGTGAGGAAGAGATACTCACAAGGAAAGAAGAGGGAGAGAAACAGCATATTTCAAGACAGGACTAGATTCAGATCTATGATTTTGCAGCTAAACTTTGCCCATCTATGAAGCATGTGGCATTTCTTTGGTAGATGTGGATTTTGGGACTGAAAAGCTCTCTTTCAGAAAAGCATGATAAAACTACAGATTTTTCTCTTCAAATTATTATTTTATTCAGCTAGTTCTCGTATTTTTCTAATGCTGAGACAAAACATTTAATATGCTTTTCGTCATTGTTAAAAAAATGGCATTTCCATTTTGGCCATTTCTAGTAGTAATTTTCATTTTGTATAGAGGTTCTTCAAGTGTCATTTTCTATCATCTTCTTTATTTTCAAAGTCCTTGGCTTCATTTATTCATAATGCTGTTCAGTCCTATTATACCCGACAATGATTTTGTAAATGATTTTGTATTACTGGTCTGATATGGGCATGATTCAACGAAGAACTAGACACATTAATCAAAGAAGAGGCATCAAAGCAGACATTCAAGAAGATGAGAGATTATTTTCCATCAAATGTTTAATTCCAAAGTTAAAAATTGAAAGAAGAGAGTAATTGATGCAACACCACATTTTTGTTATAAAAAATATAAATTCCAAATTTATAAATTTGGAAATATAAATTTCCAAATTATTGTGGTGGTGGTGGTGTGCCTTCAAATCATTTTTGATTGATGGTGACTTATCACAGGAGTTTCTTGGCAAGGTTTGCCATTGCCTTTCTCTGGTTTTGAAAGTGTGCAACTTGCCCAAAGTCACCCATTGGGTTTCATGGCTGAGCAGGAATTCAGACCTTGGTCTTCAAGCTGCAAACAACTACACCATGCTGGCTACTGTTATTTTTAAGATAATGGCTGAGATCTGTGTTGTCAGACATATATTTAGGTATTCTGTTTAAAAACTCTTGTTTTCCTTATTTACCTATATAAGCATTGCTTGTTGTGGCTTCTGTGTTACAGGTATGAATAATCGTGAAGTCTTAGAACAGGTAGAGCGGGGCTACAGAATGCCATGCCCCCAGGATTGCCCCATTTCTCTACATGAGCTTATGATCCACTGCTGGAAAAAAGACCCGGAAGAGCGCCCAACATTTGAGTACTTGCAGGGTTTCCTTGAAGACTACTTTACCGCAACTGAACCCCAGTACCAACCAGGTGACAACCTGTAATTTTCCTGGCCTTTGCAGACTACAATGATCATCATCGAGAGTTGCATTTGCAGCCGACCAAGGCTGACTGGCTTCTCCCAAGGTTGCACCCAAGAGCGCCAAAATGCACTGGAGGCCGAAGATGAGAACTAGAGCTACCTGTCCTAGAAATCTGAATGTCTTCTATGAACAGAAAAATGAACACTTGGTTTTGTTCTTAATCAGAGACTTTGAAACTGCATTCTTTTGATGTTATGTAAACTGCAAAATCTTTTGTTCAGTGTAAATAGTAATTCAGTGCCAATAACTTATCCTAGTGCTTTCCTTTTTTAAAAAAATAATGCAAAATTATGTGATTTTAACTAGTGTTCTCCTGGTTCGACTAAAGTATTATTTTCCAAAAGTGGCCTCTTTTTGTCTACATTTTTTCATGTTCTAACAAAATAAAATCAGGACCAGTGTTTGAGGGTTTTGTTTTGCTTTTGCTTTTATATATAAGATATATGTAAAATATATACATACCTGTATATATAGTCCATGGGTGCTATTACAGAGGAAACTCATTTCAGAAACAATTAGCCATAATGCTGACGCACCCAGAAAAAGACTAACTTCACTGGAGATGTGAAACACTGGTGGAGTCTCTGAAAGCCAGTGACTGAATTTTTGGCTTTTGCCCAGCATGACTTTTTTAAATTGGATTGCACTTTTTGGTTTGACTGTGTACCTGTAGATCGTTGTAACTTTTTGATCTTTCAGAACTCACGTGCAGCATTTCCAGCAACATTTCCCAACTGCGTGGTTTAATTTTGTGATCGAAGTTGAAATGAACATCTTAAAGCGAGAATATCTGCTGTTGCCAATTTGGACTGGAAGGTTGAACTGCAAGTACGTTCCTGTATGAGAATATGTATAATGAACGTTTTCTGAATCTTTTTTTATTACAAAAAATAATAAACCTTGCAGTCACCTGCAATAGTCTCAACCTCATAGCATTCTGGTCATGTCCACATGCTTAACCCATTCATCAGGCATCAACTAGAATACTTTTTTTGCGTGTACCATTTCCCATCGTGAGATAGGTGTTTTAAATGTCCTGTACTGCTAATGAAATTACTTCCATTATGTCTACAAGTGTTGCAGTGGAATTACTATGCACTTCTTTCACGGGAAATGGGAGTGGGGAGGGATGCACACAAGTTATTACTTTATCAGTTTGTACCAGCCTCAAATTCCTTCCTTCTAACCAAAAAGAAAGAAACAAAAAAGCCCCATCCTTTCTATTTCTCTCTTAAGTTCGTTTTCTAAAATAATGTTACAGTCCTAATTACATTTTGTTATTGTTTATTTGTAAGTTTACATTTTTAAAATGTTTAACTGTCTTAATTTAGTAATTAAAAGAGAGCATTTTACATTTGTATTTTTGTTCTTTCATTCCAAACACAAACTGATGGGTTGTTGTAGGTTTTTTCAAGCTATACCGATGGGGTTTGTAGCAGAGAGCACAAGAGCTCTTGGTTACTTGGATCGGGACCATTATTGATGTATGAAACTGGTTTGAAATAGCTGGACTCAGCCTAGGCTCAAGGCTGGATCTGAAAGTCATTGCACTCTTGTATTTACTGTAGAATTACTTCCTTTTTCATGTGCTATCAGGAGAAAAGAAAACAATAATTGTATGTAGAATCAATTTGTATCTTTGTAACTATTTGTACTTAGAATTGTATTCAAATAGGGAACATTTCTGCCAGGAGCATCATGAATTTTAAGGAGCATCTATGGGGAAATTGATTTTAAGAAAGCATTACCAGAAATGTCAGGTGCAATTTGCCTGCCAGAGTGTCAGTAGGGGTCACTGGAACTTCATAAATACAAGAGACAGTTCTCCATCGAGTAACGCTACTGTGTAGTATTTATAAAATCTTTTTAGATGTTCTGCTATTTTATCAGCTATTCCTATTTCTGTTTTTATTCAGCATTTTTTTTAATTCCAGTCAGCAAAGCCTTTTCTCCTGATGATTGCAAATACTTTCTTCTGGATTGTGTAGAAAAGAAGCCACTCTCAGTGTATCATTATAGTACTGGTTACCAATGTTCAGCAAACAGCAAAGAAGAACGTTTATGATACCTCCAGGATAAGACTGGGAAAGGGGGTCTCTTGCTCTCTAGCTTACTGTTTCTTAAACTGTGGACCCTTACCCCAAATGGGGTCCCATTGACTTAATGTTGGGGTTCCAAAATGTTGGGAACTGTAAAAGGTGTCTGAATGCTGTTTCAGATTTACACAAATCCGCTAGTAACAATGTGTAATGTTTACAATGAACTCTGCAGAAAATGCTTCAGCTGTACTCCACAAAAAGGGAAATTAGCCTTGCAAATGCTGATTTATTTATTTTCAGAAAATGTCTGATTTTTAATACCTATTTTATATACCTATATACCTGGGTCATGTCAACATTTTCCAGACAGAAGGGGTTTAAGAAGTTTAAGAAGCCCTGCTCTAGATGATATTGAGCTCCATTTCCACACATGTCAGTCTGTGTTACAGAGATCATGAAAAATATATTTCAGTATTTGGCAATCCACAGCATCCCTTCTCCTATGGCTACTTGTATTCTGTGTGATGATGATAAATCATTCTGACATGGGATAATCTAAACCAGAAGTGGACAAAATGCCATGGGTTAACCTGGCCTTCATCTATCCATTTTGTATAGGGTGCTCCTAAGCCATCATATCTCAGCAAAGCGGACACAGAAAACCCTCTTACAGTTTTGTTGGAAAACAAGGCATGTACAGAGCACAGGTGCTGTCTTAATTGAATACAAAGTCCACGTTAATTGTGCACCTTGTATTTAAAAGGAAATGCTAGCCTTTTAGTGCTTGCTTTACCACTGAAAGCTACTGGAAGACCAGGATGAAAGTCCAGTACCCTTTGCCTCAAGGAAGAAGTTGCAGACTCCTGTCCTCAGCAAAATGGCTAACAATACAGTCCCAACAGGTTTTCAAAGGAAGTAACAAGACAGATGGTCTGCATGTCTTGCACCAGCAGGACATATTTATAAAACAGAAGCAAGCATGAAAAATATGCATGTGAAGGGTGACTGCTGTACCCTACAATTACTCAAGTAATTATTTAGAAAGTCCCTCAAGTGGTTTTCCAGCAAACATGTTTATAAAGCAATATGCACAGACCACATTCAGTATGGCTGAAAACTGTTTTTCTTTTTTAGATCAAGTTAAACAATGAGGAGAGATTGTTTTGTAATGATAGAGGTCTCATAGGTCCCTCAGAAATTCTGGGTTTCACAATTCTGGGTAACTGGCCAATATAGGAAGGAATTTGGCACTGAAAGAAACAAACGTTTTTATTGATATCACACCATATATCAGTGGTTCTAACCAGTGGGTCCCCAGGTGTTTTGGCCTACAACTCCCAGAAATCCCAGCCAGTTTACCAGCTGTTAGGATTTTTGGGAGTTGAAGGCCAGAACATCTAGGAACCCACAGCTTGAGAACCACTGCCATATATCAAGGATGGCCATCGTGTGACTCTTGAAATGAAACAACCATCATAGCTTACCATTTCTTATGCTGGCTAAGCCTGATAGAATTTGTGGTCCTTCAGTTCAGTTGCTATAAGCTGCCTGATGCCACTGGAAGTTTAAATTCACCAGTACCATGAGATGACATGTTTCACTGGAAAAAACAATGCTTGGTAAAGTGGAAGGTAGTAGGAAAAGAGGGAGACTGCTCTTGATGGATTGATTGATTTAATTCGACCAATCAAGCTGAATAGGCAGTTGTTTTAGGGGTTTTGTGTGTGTGTGTGTGTGTGTGTGTGTGTGTGTCAGGAGCGACTTGAGAAACTGCAAGTTGCTTCTGGTGTGAGAGAATTGGTCGTCTGGAAGGGATTGCCCAGAGGACACCCAAATGTTTTACCATCCTGTGGGAGGTTTCTCTCATGTCTCCACATTAAAAGTTGGAGCTGACAGACGGGAGCTCATCCCGCTCCCCGGATTCGAACCACAACCTTTCAGTCAGCAGTTCTGCCGGCACAAGGGTTTAACCCATTGTACCACTGGGAGCTCCTAGTCAGTTGATAATCGGGGTTCTTGGAAGTCAACATAAGTCAAAGTCAACTTGACAGCAAATACTAACAAATACCTGGTGTATCAGACACTGACTACCATTAAATAGATCATTGTAATAGAAAAAGAGATTATCTTTCCCTATAATAAAAAGAATAATGGAGTCCTCATATTGAGTATTACAACCCTATTTCCAGAGAGAAGAGTCCTGCAACTTCTTCCAGAAGTAATTACCTCTGGCGAAGTCATTTTATCCCTGAGTATTCATGTGAATACCAATGAATTGTTCTCAAGGAGGAAATTCTCAGAGGTTGGCATTGTTTATTAATACCGTAATCCTTCAGTGGTGGAAAGAAAGCTCATTTTAGAAAGCAGAGATGAAATAACTAGGAAATGCTTTTCAGCAGCCAATTCTGAAAATTCTTTGTTTGTAAAAAGCCTATAGACATGAACAGGTAGTTTGATGACCGTGCTGAAATGCAATCTTTTGAAACTGTTTGATGCTGTGATTATATTGCTTCTACAAAGCCGTGATAGTAACACTCTATTGCTAAAACCAGACTGTTCTGATTTTCATAAGAGACAATATGCTTCCATGACACTGTGCCCTACGGACATTTGCCAAGTTAAAGCAGGTCACTGTCTAGCAGGGTGCCTTGAAATCCAATCATGTCATACAAGTGACTTAAAGGTTACCAGACCAGTTGAGCTCAGCCACATCTCTGTGCCTGAACCTTTGCCAAGGATTCGAGTTAATCAGATTTGCTACCAAGGGATCAGAGCTCCTGATCTCTCCCTGCCAGAATTCAAAAGCTTCCATTGGAGAACAATATCTGTAATCTGCTTAAACTGGACAGTGAGAATAGCAGGTGTTGAAACAAGCTACAGTGCTCTGCTCTATTCAGTACCCCCTCCAAGTGGTCATGCAGACCTATACGACAGAAGGGAGAGACAAAAAAAATATTGGTTTTTCTAGGAGTGGAGAGCTGAAAGAAAGCACACTCAGACCTTCCAAAGAACTATATTATGGTAAGAGGAAGGCCAGCCAAGTGAGGGAGCAGCAATGGGACACTTGCTTCTTCCATCCTTGGGTGGATAGTATTAAGCCTCAGCTCCCGATTGGTCTGTGACTATTAATGGGCTAAAAAAATAAGAATTGAGGAGTTGTGTTTAAAGGAGTCCTTACAAGGAAGAAAAAATATTTATTTATTTATTTATTTATTTATTTATTTGGAGCTTTTATAACCCGGTCTTCTCGACCTCTGAAGAGGGACTCAGGCTGGCTAACAGCAGAAAATTCAACACAAATATAGTAAACATAATATCCTCATAATACATTAATACAAAATACATTAAAATACAGATCATACAATATCATACAATTACAAAAAGCCACCAGACCAGAGGATTCTACCATAATTCCAACACTTAAGCTTCAATCAGTTTGTTTTTCCATTTCTTTCCTTCCCACCCCCCTTATATCATTGCTATTACACTGCGAACTTGTTGGCACAGGCAGTATTTTATATAGTTGACTCTCCATATTTATTGTGATTAAAGCTGCAGAACTCCCATGAGAGGGGGGGAGGAACCAGCCAGGCTTTGAAGCTGCAAGGCCATTAAATGCTAATCGAGATGGCCAATTGCAACATTCACACTTGCCTCAAGCAGACAAGAGTTCTTTCTCCCACCCTGGACATTTCGCAGATATATAAACCTCACTTGCCTGGTTTCCAACGAACCCCTCAACCTCTGAGGATGCCTGCCTTAGATGTGGGTGAAACATCAGGAGAGAATGCTTCTGGAATATGGCCATACAGCCCGGAAAACTCCAGTGATTCTGGCCATGAAAGCCTTCGACAACACATTTTCTAGGAATAATCTAGGGCTTCCAGCAGAAGTTGACAATATGTATTTTACTTTTTAGCTATTGTCTCAAACACCAGGGTTGGGGGATCCAGATGTTTTTGGCCTAGAACTCCCATCAGCCGCAGACAGCATGTCAGTATGAGGGATATGGGGAACTGCTATCCAAAAACATCTGGACGGCCACAGTTGTCACTCTTGCTATACAGTACATGTTTATCTGGTAAGTCTGCACCACTGACCCTAATTGGATTTTCTTCTAATTAGAGAAGTATTGGTTACTGTAAATATCAATTAAACCAAAGTATCCATAGAAAAAGTGCATTTTAATTTGCGGGGAGAAAGATGGCACAATGAAAGTATTCTGGAGGGGATTCCAGATATCGTGGCATCAGGGAAAATGTAGACGTTTCACACAGCAATGAATGATGCAGGAGTAAGCTTAAGCTAAGCAT